GGGAGGGAGGGAGGGAGGGAGGGAGGAAGGAAGGAAGGAAGGAAGGAAGGAAGGAAGGAAGGAAGGAAGGAAGAAGGAAGAACAAAATAAAACAAGACAAAACCAGTCTACCTTGCATCGCCGTGATGACTAAATGGGCAGGCACATGCGGAACATCCGTTTGTCTTTCTCACACGCTGTCTTCTTCCCCTTGCAAACGTGCTGTCCTCAGTTCTGCCGCTCCTGTATCCTGCCGGGAAGGACGGTAGAACAGCACCTTCCACAGCAGTGGCGACATTCTACATCCGTGCTGTACAATATGGCAGCCACAGATTGCACACGGCTACAGACCTAAGCACTTGGGGTAGGATCAGTGTGACTGAGGAAGTGGACTGTTAACTACACTTGATTTTAATGGGTGTGAATCTTAATTGGAAGAGCCACACGTGGGTGAGTGGACAGCAGAGCCCCAGCACCGGTTTGGATGCAGAGTGGAATCACTGGGGAGAGTCTCCTTTGTTTTCTTCTTTAGACATAATTTTTTTCATTGATTCTTTGGAAATTGCACGTGCGCCCCGATCCCACTCATATCCCAGTCCTTCCATATCCGCTCTTCACCCTTTTTTTTTTTTTTTCCGAGATAGGGTTTCTTTGTGTAGCTTTGCGCCTTTCCTGGAACTCACTTGGTAGCCCAGGCTGGCCTCGAACTCACAGAGATCCGCCTGGCTCTGCCTCCCGAGTGCTGGGATTAAAGGCGTGCGCCACCACCGCCCGGCCCGCTCTTCACCCTTATAGCATTCCCCACCAAAGGAAATTTAAAAAGAAATAAAGAGAAAATAAAACAAACAAAAAAGAACACAAAACAAAGCAAAAAACAAACAAACAACCACTCCACTCCCCCAACCCCCCCCCCCCCATGGGGAGATTCTTAAACGACCAGCGTTCAGATCTCACCCTAGTGGTGTTTCTCATTGCTTTGGGATAAGGCCCACGCCTAAGGCAGTCTTCAGGAGGTATGGCTTCCTTCCTTCCACAAGAGCTTGGTTTCCCTGTCTAACTGGGTCACATCCGCTTCGGCCTCTCCACACTGTAGCTGGGCATTGCTGCCGGAGGATTTGAGCTAGTCAGCAGTGAGTGACCTCAGCTGAGGGCACACGAGCAGCCATGACCCTTTTCCATCCAGTGTCTTCTTTCCTCTTGTCAGGGTTCGAGTGAGCCAGGATGGACAGTTTCTGCACTACATCTTTCCGTACCAGTTCCTGGACTCTCCGGAGTGGGAATCACTGCAGCCTTCTGAGGAGGGGATCTTCCAGGTAATAAGGAGCCCCGTGGCAGCGCCGCCCCGCCCGCCCAACATCACTGGAAGCACCCAACATCGCCGCCTCCCTGGCTCACATCTGCACTTTGACCACCACCAAACAGTGGTGCTGAGAGTGGGTGGGGCCATGACCTCTGCCTTCTGTGGGAGAAGCGTGCCTGAGCTCCCGAGTCTGGGGAACAGGGAGGGGGCGGTGTTGGTCCCTGACAGTCACTCGCTGCCTACAAACCTTATAAATACTAATGCCTATAGGCTAAAAAAAAAAAAAAAAAAGGCCATCCTACGTAGGGTAACCTTAACTCTAGCACTCGCTGGCTGCAGCTCCAGCCCTCCTGGTTCATGCGGCTCATTCCAGCTCTGCCAATCACCGGCCCCCCATCCCTTGACCCTGCTGCTGCCCCCCTCTCTCTGAAATGCGGTTTCCCCTCTAAACAAGCGCCACGCCCCCCAGCGCTCTTCTGAGGGCTGCTCAGGCTCACCTTCCTGCCTCCATGCCCCACAGCTTGCTTGAGCTCTTCTCTCTGTGCCGGCTCTGTGCACATCGCTCTCTAGTCTACTGACGTGAGGACATCTCCATCTCTCTGTCTCTGTCCCTGTCTCTGTCTCCACACTCCAAAATACAGTCCCAAGAACACAGTTTTTACTGAGCTGGTTGCCCATGAGCAGTTGGTGCCTCAGAAGACTCAGTGGGTCACTCACACCCATGGGGGCCGCAGGGATCCTGGCCACTCAGCCCCTGCTGACCTCTTGGCAGCCCTTCACACATGTGTGCTTCTGGATTGCAGATGATGGCTAGAAGGTGGCAGGCACTGCATGTTGTGTTGTCTTGCTCATTCACACAGCTTGCTCGATTGGCTGTTACTGTTAACAGACAAAGCATCTCCGGTCCCAAAGCATCATGCCAGAAAGTGGCAAAGCCAAGGAGGAGTCTGGATCTACTGTCTATTTTTTTTTTTCTTTCTTTAAGAAATGAAAGGACCACCATAAGAGTGGTTCACTCCACCCCCTTAGGGACCGTGCTGGACAGTTTGCTAGTCTTTGGTTCCGTGTGTCTTCTATGATGTCTACCAGAGAGTCTTCTAGCCAGCATATGAGCTAACCCCGGAACAGACGCTTGTCAGGCAATGCCACTGCCTGGGCTGGCTTCTGTCCCAATCCTGGCACTAAGCTCTGTGGTGACATTGTCAGAGAGGCAGTTCTGCTGCCATTGACAGGACCACTGGCCTTTGACCCCCTCCAGTCACATAACCTTTGTCCCATCCCCCCCTCTGCCTCGCCCAGGGGCACTCTCTGGGAACTCCCTCAGATGGGGAGAAAGACCAGAAGAGCTGGGGGGGCTGGAGGCAGCCAGACCAGGCTACATACAGCCCTGACAGGGAGGAACAGGTGGGTTACGCTCCAAAGGGAAGGCTGTCACCCCAGATGGCCTCTCGGCCCGGAACGTAAGCCTGCTCGGATTCCTCCCTTTTATATCCTGTGTGTGTGTGTGTGTGCCTCATTTAGAAGCAGTGAGGTCCACACCCTTGCTGTTGGCCGTGTAAAGCCCCATTTCCTCTTGGCAGGTATCAAATGTTGTTGTGTTACAGTTCATCTTGATCTTGCCTCTTACATAGCTTTGTTGATTGGAAGAGCCATTCCGGTGACTGCCTGAATCACCATTCACAACACGTTTAACACAAATGTCAGCCTCTCAACAATTCAGTTACCCCAGCTCTGCTGGCTGGTGGCACTGTGACGCTTCATTATTCATCCAGAGCCGAGCGGAGGCACATCCCACAGAATTTATCATTAGCCTCCAACCTGTGTCCCGTTTTTACTGGACTTGTGTCCTGTTTACATATGTTCTCATGAAGAAAAAGCTTGGTACTTATCAAAACTTTATAACAGACAGTCCTGGATGCTTGTAGTGAGGGGCGTGTGCGGTAGGTAAATGCTGGCTATACAAGCATGAGGGGCTGAATTAAGATCACCAGCACCCAACAAAAAGCAGGGCATGGTGACACGTGCCTGTAACCGGGTGGGGCAGAGACAGACAGATCTGGGGGACTTACTGACCAGCCAGTCTAGTTGAATGTCAAGTGATGGATTTCGTCTCAAAAAAAAAAAAAGGTCTAAGCAATAGAGAAAGGCACCTGAAGTCAGCTTCTGTCTCCACATGTACATGCACAGGCTAGCACACCCACATACATATATACATACATGCCCACACATACCACCCTAACACACAGACCCATACACACATACCCCCAACACACACACAACACACACACACACACACACACACACACACACACACACACACACACACACAAATAAAAGAAAGTAGACTTCTAGAGCACCTTCAGGGAAGGACTTTTTATCCTTAGTCGTGTGGTGGTGGTGGTGTTATGTGCACATAGGTGCAGTGCCCTGGGAGGCCAGAAGAGGGCATCAGTCAAAATTATAGGCTCTTGTGAGTGGCCCGACATGGGTGCTGGGAACCGAACCCTGTTCCTGTGGAAGAGCAGGAAGTGTTCTTAACTATTGAGCCATCTCTCCAGACTCCAAGGAAGGACATTATAAGACATGAGAAAATGACGCTAGGTTGTTTGACAATATACAAGACTGAGTCTTCATTCATTGTGCATTCCCTTCAGAGATGCCTCTGGAGAACTGAGTATATGCCAGGCACTGGTGAAAGAGTTTGGAATACATCAATGAACAGCACAGATCCTGCCCTTATTCAAGTTACATTCCAGCAGGAGAGACAAAAATAAACCCTAGATATAGCAAACAGATGAATGTGTTGGAAAATAATAACTGCTAATTAAAAGAACTGCAGACAACACAGTGTAAGGTTGCCGTTTAAATACAGTGCTCATGGGTGTCCTTGTTAAACGAGTGACAGCCTAGTAAGGGCTTGAGAGGGGACAGTGTGCACTCTGGTCATCTGTGAGACAGAGGACAGAGCAAGTGCTGCAGGTTTCAGGCACAGATAGGGAAGCACCTAGAGGTGGGGTGCAGCCAGCAGAAGAGGAAGCTGCAGAGGTGCCATTGGACCCAGACTACATAAGGGTCAGAGCATGTATTTTCTAGATGGAGCCCAGAAGGCTTTCTAACAAGCTTAACTAGTGAAGAAGGAGGCTGCTGACCGAGCACGGAGAAGGATGGGGTGGCTGCAGGAGGAGCTTGCCAGAGGGGGAGAAGTGCATCTTGGGATGTGTTCAGTTTGCTTCATCTTGGACAGTGGGGATGTTGCAGAGGCAGTTGGAATAGTCCAGTCTGGAGCCCAGGAATGAGGTCCGGGCTTGAGAGATGAATTTGGGAATGGGTTTTATGCAGATAACGCTAGAAGCCACTGGATAGGCTAGCATTGCCTAGTGAATGAGAGGATTGAGAAGCGGTCGAGAACCTGGCCTCCTCTGTTACAGTTAGGGAGAAAAAGAAGAACCAGAACTGAACCTGAAAAGAAGTCAGGAGGTTGCCCCAGGCATGTTTGGCACCCCGAGAACCCCAAGAAGATAGTGTGCCCAAGAGAGGTGACCCAGCAGAGTGCAGCTGACCCGTGGAAGCAGCAACTGGGAGGCCACGGGGGTGGGGGTGGGGTGTGTGTCTTGATTGACAGGAACAATGATTGACAGCCTTATTTGCAAAGAGCAAGTCAGAAGAAAGGAGACAGTCAGTAGAGACAGGTTTCTGTGGAGTTTGCTAAAACAGGAAATAAATATAATGGTAGCCAACCGTGAAAGTAAGACAAAGAAAAGGCGTTTCATATTTTATTCTTTTTTTTTTTTTTATGGAAGCAGTAACAGCCTACACCGGGGAAGCCCATAATCACTGTGTCTGATCATTGACGGACATCGTCAATGATGGACATTGACGTCATCCAAGTTGGGACACCCGCAGATGTTTATCTGCTCTGCGGTTGGCACCAGGTTCTTGTCTGGGACTTTCTGCCAAGGCAGAGGCTATGACTGAGCATGACAACCACAGGCTCAGCCGTTGGTAAGGGACAGATTGTGAGCATTGTTTTCAGAATTCTTAGAGGCGACATGCCTGGACACCGCAGTAATTTAACGGATGTTACCCAGCTGGTGAGGGGGGAAACCAGCAACAGCCCCTGGCCTTGATGACTAATTTAGGACCTTGGTCTAACAGTTAGGCGAGGTAGGCAGCTGTGGGGAGTAGGAAGCAGAGGATGGTACATCGGACACTGAGGAAGAGGAGAGGGGGTGGTGATGGGAGGTAAAGTAGGCAATACCTTTTTTTTTTTTTTTTTTTTTTTGTTTTTTCGTAGAGTTTCTCTGTGTAGCTTTGCGCCTTTCCTGGAACTCACTCTGTAGACTAGACTGGCCTCGAACTCACAAAGATCCGCCTGGCTCTGCCTCCCAAGTGCTGGGATTAAAGGCGTGTGCCGCCGCCGCCGCCGCCGCCGCCGCCGCCGCCACCACCACCACCACCACCACCACCTGGCCCAGATTTTTTAAGCTGTATCTTTTTAAAAGATGTATTTTATGTATTTGTTTGTTTGTTTGTTTGTTTGTTTTTGAGCTGAGGACCAAACCCAGGGCCTTGCGCTTGCTAGGCAAGCAATCTACCACTGAGCTAAATCCCCAACCCCGATTTATTTTATTTTTAATCAAGTGTATGGAGGGGGTATGTGCCTATGAGTGCAGGTACCTGCAAAGGCCAGAGGCTTTAGGTCCATTGGAGCTGAAGTTCTAGACAGTTGTGAACTGCCCCAAGTGGGCACTGGGAATCAAACTTGGGTCCTCTGCAAGAACACCAAGTGCTTTTAACCTGCTCAGCTATATTTCCGGCCCTGAATAACAAGAATTTGAGGGGTTGTATATAATCTCTAATAGAGAATGCTTCAAAAGCCAACACCATATTTCATAATCAGTATAAAGCACCCAACACAGGGCCTGACACACAGTCACAGCTCAGTAAAGTTAGCCTCGATGTCCATCTTCTCCACTCACACCCTGACCCTGCCAGCAAAAGGATTGTGTCAGCCAGATCAGAGCGAATTGTCTAAGTCCACTCCCATTTCTATGCTATCCTTGGAATGATTCCATTTTAATCTTAGCCTGCATGCTGCTCATCTTTGGTTTTGGTTTTGAGACAGGAGCCCACTCTGTAGCTCAGGCTATCCTAGAACTCACTATGTAGCCGAAGGTGGCTTCCGGTTCCTGGCCCACTGCCTCTACCTTTTGAGTGCTGGGCTTATACAGCATGAGCCACCATGCCTAACTCATCATTTTAACAAGGATTATGGAGGCCTCCTGTGTGCCAAGAACATGTTGATGCTTATTTCTCCTGCTGGCATAATCTAGTTTGCATCCTGGGCACAGTGAAGGTGCAGACATTCCTAGGCCCTTATGTACATAACTGAAGGAGGGGACCTGTTCCATCCTGCTCATGAGTTTCTTTTTCTATGCTTACACTCCTCCTTAATTCATGAGATCCTCTGGGTTTGTAACCAAGTGAAGAGCAGATTCGGAGACCTGAACCCCAGTGCTCTGGCCATCTGATACATCTTGGCGTGCTTAATTTGTGGCATTTTCTCTCAGTAAACGTTCCCCCCAGCTCTTTTGGTGACTGTTCTCCAGTCATGGTTCCTCTCCCCTTAGTACTGGAAATTCAACCTAAGGCCTTACACACACATGCTAGGCAAGTACTCTGCCTCTCTACCACGAAGTTATCTCCTTTCCAGAGCTTGAGTTTCTCCTCTAAGGTGCCCAAGCTGGCCTTGAACTTGTCAGCCTCCCACCTCAGCCTCCCAAGTAGCTGGGATTACAGGCACAGGTCACCAAGCCTGGTCTTTACATTTTTTTTTTTTTTTTCGGAGCTGAGGACCGAACCCAGGGCCTTGTGCTTGCTAGGCAAGCACTCTACCACTGAGCTAAATCCCCAACCCCCAAGATGGACCATCTTTACATTTAGTTTGTTCTCTCTCCAGCCCTCAGACGCTGCCTTCCCTTTCTTAGCCTTTCTACTCAGAATCTTTTGCAGCTGTTGTTGTTATCAGCAGTGGAACCACAGAATGTAAGAACCTAGGAGAGGGGCCGGGCGGCAGTGGCACTCGGGAGGCAGAGGCAGGCGGATCTCTGTGAGTTCGAGGCCAGCCTGGTCTACAGAGCGAGTTCCAGGACAGGTTCCAAAGCTACACAGAGAAACCCTGTCTCAAAAACAAACAAACAAACAAACAAAAACAACAACAAAAGAACCTAGGAGAGGAGATACTCAGACTGAGGCTCCAGGAGGTCATGGATAAGTGAGCAAGGGACTGTCCCCAGTTCCTGACACAGGAAATGCACATCACAGTGCACACAGGAAGCCTGTCCCTGGATGTCCTCCCGGCTAGGCCGTAGAGAGCTATCAAAATCAAAATAGCCACTTGTTTCTCTGCACTGCAAACCTCCCTCTGCTCCTAACCCCGTAGGTCACGCTGACTGCCGAGACCGAATGCAGCTACATTTCCTGGCCCCGGAAAAATCTCCACCTTCTTCTCAACAGAGAGCAATACATCTCCCGCCTCTTCGCAGCCCTGCTGGGCTACGACATCTCCGAGAAGCTCTACACCCTCAACGACAAGCTATTTGCTAAGTTTGGGCTGCGCTTCGACATCCGCCTCCCCAGCCTCTACCACGTGCTGGGGTCCTCAGCCTCAGATGGCGGACCGGAGTCTGAGAAGGACGATGAAGAAGTCTTTGAGGCGGCTGTGTCCCCCGCTCAGGCCAGGCCCATCTGTATCCTGCCAACAACAGCCCCTTGTTCTCCACCTCCAGCTACCACCAACTTCCCTGTGCCTCTGTCCCGGGCCAGGATGTCCAGACCTGACAGCGGCACCCTGGGTGAGGACTCCACCAGTCTGGTGCTGGAGGATTTTGAAGAGGTTTCAGGATCAGAGTCGTTTATGGATTATAGGAGTGATGGGGAGTACATGAGGTGAGGGCGGAGCTCACATGGGCACGCCGCCAGCTAAGGATCCTGTGTAAGTATGCAGAGGTGAAGGTGCCCGGTTCTGCCCGTGCTGGTTGTATTGGCTCCTTAGGGTGGAAGCGTGGCGGCGGCTTCCGAGTCCCGTCCCTTTCGGAGGAGGACTCGCTGCTCTAACCCAGCCCCATGCTCACAGCAGGAGCATGCTTGCATGAAGGATTTTCTAAACCTACTCACAGCTGGGGTTACATTTCAGAGAATGGACTGGTTGACATTTAGAGCAGGCCGGCGGCGGGCTGTAATCTTTGGGGGGTGGGAGGGGCTAGATTTTGCTAATAGCTACTCAAAGCACTGCTGGGACTAAGGAGGCATTGTCTGTGGCATGTGATTCACAGGGAAGAGAATGCTGGCGTCGTTCTACTGATGGTCTCCCTGGTGGATAGATAAGTTCTGGGAAGCAGCCGTTCTTAAGACTTGACTAGGACGGACTGTTAAAAATCAAAGAGACTAGTGTTGGCAGGCGAACAGTTCTGGAAAACAAACAGCCCTGTCCTGCTCTCCTCCTGCCCAGTGGCAGACGGTCTGGTCACTCAGGCAGAGGCCTGGACACTGCTTTGATCTAAACATTACCGTGACAGGTGTAGGGCAGCCTGGCTTTTCCCAGCAGCCCACATGTGTGGGCAGTGGCCTGGGCCTGGGCCTGAGTGGCTTCCCCAATGCTGGCAGGATTTCCCTCCTATGAGTGTGTACCTGGAAGAAGGCTGTGTTCAGTAGTTCTGGGAAGTCACTTTCCTGTCCCCCTGCTTGAGCTTACAATACTGTGACATTTTCCTCCGGGCTCTACCCGGTCTTGGTGGAGGCTTGGCTTTTCCTGAGGAAAACCCCTCCGTCCACAGCCTGGAAGGCATTTTAAGTGCCAGGGGCCACCACCAAAGGGACCTGTCGTTCTTTGGGAAGCACCGACAGATTTGAGGAACTAGCCCAGTGCGGAAGGCCTCGGAGGTGCACGGCGTGGATGAGTAGACGTGTATTTCCAAAACAATCCACGTAGCCGATGAAAGAAGCGAGCGAGATGCAGGCGGTGAAGACGGACATCAGCTTTAGAGATAGAGAAGTTATCATCTCCCGTGGAGTAATTCCAAGGCGCTGAGCCCCACGACAGCTTAGTTTGCTTTCCCGTTCACTGGTCCCCTCTCTGGCTTTCCACACCAGCTGCTCCATCCCACTCCATGCTGACCAGTGTGACCTGTGGATATTCATGCTGTCCAGCCTGCCTCAGCACCTCCTCGGCTCACAGGGCTCCGACTTCTGCTTCCTTTCCATCCCTGACTCCTCCTCGTCCCTGACGCCTCAGTTGGTGGCTCTAAGTGTCCCTCTTCCTCCCCACCTGCCCCGGACTTCTCCATGTTAGTTTTAGCTCTGTCCCCCCCCCCCCCGCAGCCCGCCTTTACCCAGTCTCTGCCTTTGCTCTCTCTTCTCTTCCCTAAGCACCCTTGTGTCTCCATTTTGCTAATTCTGAATCCTAACTCCTCCAGTGTCAGTACTCATTTCTCTGAGGATAAAGAAAACCACTCAAATGAAGGTCCCCAAAGCCCCGACTTCAAGGATGTTTCCCAAATGTCAGAGGACAGGCAGCAGGGTGACAAAGAAGGAGACTAGGACCTTTGTGTCTGGCTCCCCAGCGAAGGAAATCGGGATAGAGTATACTTCATGTGAGCGTTAGAAATCGCCTCAGCGGGGATAATCTGAGGCTTCCTTTTGCCGGAGCCTAACTCACTTTGGAAAATCGAGAGATGTCTTGGGGTCCTCGCAGGAGCTCATCACATAGTGTATAATTCGAATGCAGGGAGCAATCCATTGCTCATACCAAGCTGAAATCCATCTAACTTTCAGGCTTGAGCTCATCTTGCCCCCATGCTGCCCCCCCCCCCCGCCCGCGTGTGTTCTGACAGAGACAGAGCTGTCACACTGCCTTCAGACTCTTCCCTCAGAGGGAAAGCTGATGGATGCCAATGCAAGTGAACAGCTCCTGGGCAGACAGTTTGCTCTTCATAGGCTGGCAGGCTCTGGGGTCTCCACAGTGGCTGATCTGCTGGCAGAGGCCCCCTGGGTGAGCCAGGTCCAGGGCAGCAGTCCCTCCCCACAGAGTTCTCAAGTCATTCTTCCAGTTCTGCTCTGCAGGCCTCAGCTTCCCACCCCTCTGTTTGTAGAAATGAAAGGCAGGGTCCTAGAAAGCCTGTTGAACTTCAGTGCGGGACTGGGGTTGTCTTTATTATCCATGAACAGCAAGTGGGAAGCAGAGTGTTTTCCTTAGGGCACCCCGGAAGTGTCGACAGAGGAGGATAGAACCGTAGACCGAGAGAACTTCAGATAGATAACTTCAGAAGTGACCCCCCCTCCCGCCCATCCCACAATGAAAGAACTAGAAAGCACAACTGTCCGGGACTAGGCATTGGGCATGGGGTCTGCAGGGGAAACAGAAACCCAGCAAAGATCCTGTGGTACTGGGCAAGCCCTCTGGAGCCAGGTACTGATAACCTGTTTCTGTTTCTCTCCACAGCTTCCAGAACTCCTCTCCAGAACTCTCCTCAGGCTATGTCCAGAGCACAGGCCCCTTTGGCTCCAACCCACACTCCTGAGCTTTAAGGATCGCAGAGCTGTGGTCTCTGTGGCCAGATGGCTCTCTTCCATGTTCCCTGGATGGCCACTTGTATTCACTCCCCTCCTGTCATCCATCAGAAAGATCGGGGGGGGGGGGGGAGCAAGATGGGAGACGGACATGCCATGTCAGCACCACAACTGCCCCAAGGGTGATATGGAGAAACTTACCTTCATCAACCTTCCTCGTAGGAGGAAGGTCCAGAGGCACCAGGCCTGACTCCTTCTTTTATGGCTTGTAGAACCGTGGCTGGTCACACAGCCTCTGAGCCTGATCTGTCAAGTGGGGCTAGGAACTCACCTCCCAGGGTTGGTGTGAGGAGCCAATGAGTTGATTGGGTAAAGCACCTATGACGTGGCATGGCCTTGAGCGTGCACTCACTAAAGCACCCCACACCTCTCCCGGATGTTGTTGCTTTAAACTGTCTGCAAGGATCCAGTGAATTTTCCGTGTGGTTATTTTGTTGTTGTTGTTGTTGTTGTTCCCAAATAAGTTTCTATTGAAATAGAAAATTTTTAAGCCCTGACATTTTCTTCAACTTTTAAGTTGAAAATAGAAATAACTGTGCCCTGTTTATGAATCTAGCATTGAATTCATAATTAGTAGGATTGTTTAAGCTTAGCTAATTCATTTTTCTTCCTTAAACCTTTAAAAGTGACTTGCAAGTTGAGTCTGTTCTGCTCTCTTTTTATCTGGTTATTTATTTTGATTGAGACAATATGTTGCTGCTGTAGGAGACTGGTCTTGGATTCACAGCCCTCCTGCTTCCCCTCCCTGAATGCTGAATCTATTCTACGTTGCTTTTCCTTTCAAAGTCCGATGTATGTTCTGATTACCTGATGCTGTGTCAAACCTGTCCCTGATACAGTGACTTCAGACCGTTGGGGACTAGCTGGGGCAGCTAGGCAGTGCTCACCCAGCTCCATGCTATTTCTCACGCTGCTGCTCTCCGCATGTGCTTGCAACAGGAGGCATCTCAAAGGCCTTCTCGGTCAACCAGTCTAGGGTGAGACTAGAAAACTCTAACAGCTGAGGACGGATCGGCTGGGGAGCCTCGCTCCATCTCCAGTGGTTGGTTCTTGCTGCCATGTAGTTCTCTAGTGTATGAATATACCAATATACTCCTGGTATGCACATGGATCGTTTCCAGCTTGAAGTGATTAAAACGGTGTTCCTGTGGACGTCCTTGTACAGATGCTTCGGGATGCATATATTTGCATTCCCTGTACCTAGGATTGGTACCCGCAAGGCACGACTCAGGCATCCTTCAACGACAGTGGATTCTGCCAAATAGTTTTCCTAAATGGTTGTACCAACTCGCATTCCTTTCAGCAATGTTGGAGAATCCCTCTCCGGTAGTTGTCATTTTTTTTTTTCTCTCATCTTTGCCTTTTGGGTATGAATAGCAACATTTCATTGTGGCTACAGTTTTCATTTTCCTGATGAATACTAATACTCTTTTTTCCTGCCCCTTCCCCACTTTCTTGGCTAGCCTGGAGGCTAGCAAACTCCAACTATCTCCCACACCCCCGCCCCACCCTCCTCAAAGCTGGGGCTAAAGTGCTGGGACACCCGGCTTTGTTACAGGGCTGCTGGAATCCCAACTCCATCCTTCATGGCAGTGTAACAGGTGCTCTTCACCACGGAGCCATCTCTCCAGCCCCCCAATGCGCCCCCACCCCATGTGAGTGTTTTCTGTTATGAAGAAAACATTCTGTTGGCTTTTATACATTTCCCCCCCAACACATACTGTTTCCTCTAACTGGTGCCTTTCGATGAGCAGAGGTTTGATTTCCCTGTAGTGCTGTTGGTTTTGCCCTTTTCCTGTGGCTTTCTGTGTCACGTGTAAGGAGCTTGTGTCCCCCTGAAGATGGCCTTCATCTCGACCTCCTAGATGTTTTATAGTTCATGGTGAGGCCAGTGACGGCCTGTAATGGTTTTGAAGTGTGGCATGAAGCAAGGGTTCGTTTGGGTGTCCGGTTGCCTGGGCATTGGTTACCGCGATGGTTATTTTAACCCTCACACTAGTACTCGTCACCACCTTGTCAGAAGTCAAATGTCCCCGTCCCCGAGGCTCTTTTTGGAGCCGTGCGGTTGCTCTGTCTGGTTTTGTACCATCCCTGTGCTGCGTCCCGGCTCCCCTGACTATTTCTGTCCATAATAACACCACCTTGTCGTCGTCGTTGTGATGTAGTGCTATAGTAAGGTTTGCTACCTGGCAATCCAACTGTTCTCCGGTCTTGGTTGTTATAGGTCTTTCCCTTTACACATACATCTACATAAGCTTTACACCCAGCACGTCCGTTTTGAAGAACAAACAGATTAAGTGTGACAAAGGGTTATCTTTACGACACTGAATTTTAAACCTGTGAACGTGGTTTAGCATTTCATTTACGTTAGTCTCCTTTGTTTTCTCATAATCATATTTTTTTGTTTTTGAAGTAGATGTTCTTGCATATTTTTATAGTTATTCAATGAATTTGATGTGATTATAAGTACTATCATTAAATACTTTTTACGTTCTGATCGTCCGTGGCTGCTTACATAATACAACTAATTTTTGTAACTTCAACTTCCACCCAGTGATTATGATAAAAACATGTACTAGTTCTCATTATTAATCTATACATTCTGCAGCATTTTCCAGAGATGAAATAGTGACAGTTTTATTTCTCCATCCCCAGCCCATACCTCCCCTTCTTCCTTCTCTTTTCTTTCTGGTACCTGTTGGTTAGGTAAGACCTAGTACAGAGACAGAGCAGACGGCAGACTGTTGGTTAGGGAGGACCTTCAGGACAGGGACAGAGTGGACGGCAGATGGTTGGTTAGGGAGGACCTTCAGGACAGAGTAGACGGCAGACTGTTGGTTAGGGAGGACCTTCAGGACTGGGGCAGAGGGGACAGCAGACGGTTGGTTAGGGAGGACCTTCAGGACAGAGCAGACG